GAAATGGTCAAAACATCAACACTTGAGCAACAAAATAACAGTGGGAGAATCCAACTTGCAAGGCTACAAAAATGCTTTAGATTTCCCGGCCGACCCTAATTTTTTGGCAAAACCTTAACATTTTTACTGACAAGTTAGAAAAAAAATTTTTTAATAAGTCTAAGAAAGATAAATAAATAAATCATGTTATCTATTCTGTCTTCACAACACCTCAAAATGGTATTTTCTCATTATAATGCTTGTGTTTACATGTTTTCCCAGTTACATTTTCAACATTTGAAAAACAACTTATGCTAATTTCACAAGTTCTCTTTGTGTTTTGCTGTTGCTGTAGTACTAACACGTGCGCAAAGCACTGGTTCCCACCACTCCGCACCCATACAAGAGAATGTGGAACACTTCTCTCGACCATATTTTGAAGAGGCTTGTAACACACTCGAGCACGGACGGGGCAAAGGGGATGGGGCGAAGTGGAAATGGGGCGATGTGGGGATAGGGCGAAGTGGAGATGGGGCGAAGTGGTTAGGGGTGAAGAAGCCCCACGTGAGACAATCTGTCTCTTTTCTGTCGCAACCAGTCTACTTTAAGGCATGTTTTCAACGCCTGAAATCCAAACTGCAGGACTGTCACAAAGTTAGAATCCTAATATCTTCCAAAAGAAGAATAACTCAACAATTTTACTTATACCGGCATACCGGCGTATTCCTCAGTTTGGACTTTTACACGAGTACCCTAAAGCTTTCCCAAACGGTACATTTTTCAATGTATGGCGCCTTGAAAAACCATGGCAGCGCTATTTTAAAAAACGAAAGCAGTGCTTCTTGCACAAATGCTGCTTTTTTTTTTTTAAATAGCGCCGCCCATGGTCAGCATAGAAATATTCCAGGCCCGGTTTATCAAGGTGCAATATATTAAAAATATATACGGTTTGGGAAAGCTTTAGGGTGCTCATATAAAAGTCCAAACTCTGAGGAATGCTTCGGTGTAGGTAAAATTGTAGAGTCATTTTCATTTCAAGACATGTGAAGATTCAAAGTTTGTGACAGTCCTGCAGTTTGGATTTCAGGCATTTAAAAACCCGCCTTGAAGTGGGGCTGTGGTGGCAACAGAAAAGAGACAGATTGTAAAAAGAGCCACTACAGCTCTATTTGTGGGGCTAGGCTAGCCCCACTAGTGTGGCACAGGCCCTTGCTACTGCTCCATCCTTAGCCACACATCCGTATATGCAATTTCGTGTCGGCGTGGTGAAATCTTCGGTACACCCTCTTAAGCCAAAATTTTTTTTGCACACAAATGATCCGTAATCTCTCGGCTTTAATATAAAGATAGCAGTGAGAGTGCAACCGTGAAATTGAATGGGTAAAGGCAAAAAGACTGGAAAATACCAGAATAACGTGAGTGAGATCATTCAATAAATGGTCACTAGAAAGCGGAGAGACTAGGTATCATTTGTGTGTGCAAAAAAATTGTGCCTACGATTACAAGAGGGTGCGCCGAAGATTTCACCACGCTGACACGAAATTGCGTACACAGATTTGTCGTTGAGGATGGAGTGGTAGCGAGGGTCCATGCCACACTAGTGGGGCTACGGCTAGGCTGTGGTGGCGACAGACATGACAGAAGAGATAGCTTGTAAAAGAGAGCCACCACAGCCGCGCCCCACTTGTGTGGCATGGATCCTAGCCACACGTCAACAAAAAATTCGGTACATGGGCATGTGGCTGTAGGGGAATGCAGCGTACAGTAGGCCACATTAATGGGGCTAGGTCTAGGTTTTGTGGGAATAGGCCTAAATTAATGTAGGCCTAATTGGTTAACCCACCAAAAATAAAAAAGAAATTGAAACTAAGATTAGGGACTAGATTATAATTTTATTTGTGTTTCTGACATCTCAGGGATATGTTGGTATTCATGTTATCGGGCCGTGAACAGTGCTGATTTTACATTGTATTCAATGGGGCTGAGTTTTAGTGAATATGACATATGCCTACTATTACCAGGCTAGTATTTAATAGTAGGGCCAGTACTACTAGTATTACTAATACTAATACTAGGCCTAACAAAATGTATTCAAGCGATCATTGCCAACTGCACGACAAAATGGCATTGACATTTTACGTATGATTTGGTACAATTTCGAACTGGTTCTGAATCAATATTCGAATAGAAGCCCAGTTATTGGTCTCATGTAGAAAGATTCTAAAAATTTCGAAATTAAAAACTACATTTTCCCCTTAGTTGATACTGACCAGCTTGTGAGACCTCCACACACGCGGTGCAATTCAGAAAAGGAAGGCAGCGAGTCAGTTGACCTCTAACTACGCGTTGTACAACGCATGTTTTATGTACGCGTACATGTACACATTGTGACCAGGCGCTGGTCGTGTGTACTAATCTAAGTGAGTGAGACAGTGGGAACGAGGTTGGACACACGAGGCGCACGCGCACGCCCGGGGTTCGCTCGACATTAAATACTGCGGTCGCGCATGCGCACAGCCTTCAGTGTGCCGGCGGTACCCAGGCTGTTTTCCAATACTCGACTTGGGCTGCGATGAGGCTTCAACTTTTTTTTTTTACTTCCTGACTTTGAGGTTGTAAGAGCACCAGTAAGTCTGATAGTGCCACAAAACATCACGTAAAATGCAAAAGAGTCGAACATAACAGCACTTCAATTTAAGTTAAACACTTCAGGCCCACATGGCGGGGATTTGACTTCCTACACGCGACGGCGGTAGAGACGAAGTGAGTATTGGAAAACGGCCCCGGTTCGTAAGTGTGACGTCACTTCAGTTTAAACCACGCCCACTGCACATGAATGCACGTAGAGTTACATGTATTGATCGTTGTTTACTGTGGAACCATGGAACCGGAAGTTAACTTGCAACTTCAGCGATCGTCCAATGGGATCGAGCCTGTAAAATGTGGCGCGTCTTCCCTTGTGACGAACCGGGGGGTACACCACTGAAAATAAATTCCCATACACAGCAGTGATAAATCCCCATACTTCACAAA